AGCATGGTGATACAGTAGGTTGACCATAGTTTGGGTTTGATTTATAGCCTCAAGGTTTAGATAACTTGCTATTATTGAGAGAATTTCATGAATTCAGTATTGTTTCAGAAAATTCAGGAGAATACCAGGCTATATAGTACATCCATCAGCTGAGCCAAAAGTATCATGTAGTAAGACAATGGCACTATAAATACAAGTAGACCCACAATAGAGTGTGTAAAGAAACTTAGCATTTTGGTTTAGCCAATTTTGGACCTAAACCCCATTAAATATTATGGTAGGACCTGAAGCAAGTTATTCATGTAAGGGAACACTGTCACTGACTGGAAGAAGTAAAAAACATCAATGTATGGAAGTACGGAAGTAAGGGTCTAAAATTCCTGATAAACAGCTACAGGACATATCTACTTGAATTAATTGCTTCACAAGGAGGTGCCACCAATTACTGAATAAAAGCTTTTACATACTTATACATTCTACAGTACTTATACAGTTTTTAATATTGTATTATAATGTATGTATTTATGTACAGTATATGTATTTAAGAAGGTTATGTTAATCTTTTAATAATACTTTCATGAAAATGCAGTTATGTTGTAGGTCTAAAATATACAGTAGATGAATATGGACCCATCTAGGGGTTTGATTTATTGGTAGTGTATGCTCATGTTCCAATCAATAGCAGTAATTGGTATTTAAATAAATATTAATAAAAAGAAAAAGGCATGCAAGCTTCCTGTCATGGATCAACTTAGCGACTATTTCTCTCTTCTCCCTGAGAAACCTACTGAATCACTGGTGTGTGTAGAGAACACATTTTGGACACATTTCATTCTTTAGAAAACTAGTTTATTGCCCTAGGGTGCACAGAGGAGAACAGAAAGTTAATTTTTTTGTGCAAAAACATTATCACTGGGTAATTTGTTATGCAAAAAAGTGCAGCGAACATCGTTAGGGAGATGGATTATTAATTGGAAGGGCACTGAGTGAAATTACATTTGAATCTCAGGGAGAGGGAGATGTTTATGAATTCAGGATGATCCTATGTATTACTTTCAGTAAATTCACAAAAAGTAGACTTTTCCAGACTTCTCCTTTTGGTTAGTTCTCATCTAATGAACCAATTGGAGTTACTGTGCCATGTCACTTTTAGGACAAAAATAAATATCACCTTCATAATGTGATTAATATGTATATTTTACATTGAAAACCAGGCAATTTGACTCCCTAAATTATATGAAATATGATATAAATATACAATAACTTGATAGAAGTAACTTGATAAGAGTTCAAAATGCAGAAGCATGCAATATTCAAATTTTATGTCTTATTTATGTCTCAAAATAAGCATATCTTTGGATGTCTAATCAAAATGTAGCTGCATTTGAAAGCTTCTGAGAATAGTATTGATCTATATTCTTTGTCTATGAAATATACATCTAGTCACCATGTGTATGTGAAACATCACACAAAACGTGGTTAGATGTGTTTGCAATCAAAAACGTATGTTGTATTTTATTGTATTTTTTATATTTTACTTACAATAGCTCCAAATACTTAAAGCAGATTTTCTTGGATCAAAACTATCCTGTTCTCTAACTGATTTGTTTTCTCACCATGAGAAATGTCAGCACTGTTCTGCTGAACCAGCAGCTAGCTTAGTCTGAGTCTTCCGAAAGACAAGACAGATGCCATGTTATCATTTACAATTCAGTAAAGAACCAAAACTAACACCAAAGGAAAAGGTCATTCATACAGTCTCAAAATACACTGATCTGTCGAAGGAATGTCATATTAGTTAAATTATCAGTGGAAGAAAAACACTTGGAAGGCTCATGCTTTTTGTATTGATTTTGTACATTTTAATTTACCTTCTAATTCTGTAAGGTACTGTAGAAGTTAATTTTAAAACATAAATCCCTTAGTATTATATATCCAATGAGGCCCATAATACACTTACAGCTGTTGGGATATTTCTTCATGTACAGTATTTGCTTTATTGTATTTTAGTAAGTCAGGCATTTGTATTTTAGTTCATTTTCCAGCCATGTTAAATGGTGTCGAATGTGTCAGCATGCAGAGAACATTTTTTAAATGGGAAATTCTCAGCACTTACATCACTAAAGAATGCTTAACATTAAACAACTTAAACAAAAAAACAGTGAAATCTCCTTTCCTTTTTTGCTTGCAATGGAATCATATAACATTTTAGTCTACAAGATGCAGAAAGGAATATTTTAGATATTTTTTAGACACCTCCACACAATTTCAAATGTCATTAACATTGTAGCCTGGGCTAGATTAGCAATACTGTAGGTAAACTAGGCACGTTCCTGGGACCCAAATGTCTAAGGACAGCCCTATCAGATTTACTAAGTGTTTTTTTATTTTCTAATATATTTTTATATTTTTCTGAAACTGTACACTTATTTTTAGATTCAAACAAGATATGATTTTCCAGGTCAGTAGAACAGAGCAGTAATTTCTTCACAAATACACACAAATAGGATATTCACCTGTCTACTGCTGATGAAGTACATGCAAAGGTGGTTGCAGAAAGTCCAGTTCATTAGTTGATTTTGCTAGTTACAAAGGAATACACAGTATAGTGGCTAAAATACTAAAATGGAGAGTAGGCTACAACTAATCTCTAATGTCAGCAACTGTCTCTATTGAAGGTCAGCAAAGTGGAAAAACAAAACAAAAGAAAAATCAAGAAGTCTTTGTAACTCACAGATTAAATTCATTTAGAAGAAATCATTATTCAAATACATTATGACATCTTTGACTTCCTAATAACTGAACTACAATGCAGCAAATGAAGAATTAAAGTACAAAAATTGATTTTGTACATCATTAGATTACTTGAATATTCAGTGTTAAAAAATGCTAAGACATCAGTAATGATGACCATGTATACTCTAGTCCTGAGCGATACGTGTGGTCACATGCTTTTTAATGTACACTTAATATCTTTAGCTCTGTCCCTCTCTCTAGCTGTATCACTTTGTAGTTGTTCTGGAGAACTGCCATTTTCTGTGTAAAAAAATTGATCAACAATCAACAATCAACAGCAAAGTATAAGTAAATACTTCAGCTTTATTTGAGATTAAAAAAATACTTTATAGTTTAGTTGGATTTTGGTGTAAGTCATAAGGCTTCTCAAACCGCTTAAAAGAAGAAAAGTATATTAATCAATTGAAAATAATATTTTTAATTCAATTGCTTTGCATTTATTATATATCCAATGTGCACTGGGCTTATTTAATCATTAATACCTCCTCAAATTAAGATGTGCTAATTGTAAAATTGTGATGCTCTGACTGCTTAAACTGTGAAAAATGTTTTAAGAGAATTGTACTACATAATAATTAAAACTGAGAACTAAGCTATTTGTGAATGAGGTATTTAGCTACAGTGACAAACATACGGGTATTTACACATTACTACAGCTGGGAGGGGGCAATGCATTTGTCCGCCTCAGCCCACTACTGAGTTAATCAGGCCCTCGGTGTGGAAGAATAATAAAGAAGAAATTAACAGTGGTAATGCATTGTATATTTGTATATGCATTGCATATTTACTATATCCATCTCTTTCAGCTTTTGTGTGTTTTAGTCATGTACTCCAAGAATAAACAGAAACACAAGCTTTTATGCATAAGAAACATCAAACTTTATCATTTTAAATTAATGATAATCCCACTTCTTGAGGTAAATAGGAATGGCAACTTAAGTTCAGTTTACAATTCCCTCTCCTGCTTACTACAGTATATGTACTGTAATTATCAAATTAATATGTTTTCTTTGTTTTGCATTATTTATATGTCTCTTCATTATACCTTACAATGCCACTCTGCATTTTCCATTACATGATGTAAAATTAGTTTCTTTATAAAATTTGAAAATAGCACCTACAGTAAACGAAGACGAAAGCACAAAATTTTCTTTGCCATCACAAAAGGGGGTTATAATTTATATTTAAAAAATCTGTATTTCATGGAGCACTGCTTGTGATTTACTGTATTTCTAACCTTAAATGTAAAGAAGTCTCAGGGGTCATTACAATCTAGAGAGTGGCAAGTAAGCAAAGAATTCCTCTTGGACACAATCTTCCACAGTGTGTTAACCTCGTAAACTGCTTCACAGTGATATGTGATATGGAACATGGGATGACATCTGTTTTGACAAAGACAAGTAGGAACACTGAACCGTACAAAACCATCTTTGCGTTGAGTGCTAGGCTTTCCAAACTCTGAAAAACTAGTATAGTGAAATATTCAAATTCTGCTCATCAAGAACAAATACTGTAACTATTTCATTAGTGCTACAGTACAATATTGAAAAAATGTAAGTCAACAGAGACAAAGTGATCTTCACCCATCATGCTCGTAAATCATTGTAAAAGACAAAGAATTATAATACGTCTAATGTTAACAGGACTGCATATTGTATCTTAGTGAGAGCAAACCAAGACATTTACTTGCATTTACTTTAGAATGTTAGCAATTTATCTTTAAATACTTTGGGGAAAAATGTCTCAAAATAAAATAGACAACATCAAATTACTACTATTGTTGCAAGAACTTCATTATCATGTTTAAATTATTTGAGTTTTTAGATCCATTAATTAATTTAATATACAGTACACCATGATCTCAGCTAAGCAAGGTTGTAATGTCTCCCAAGATACCCAAGATAACAAAGCCACTCTTTTAGAGGTCAAGAGTGGTAAAAATTGGTTATTGTAAGTATATTGAAGGGGCAAATTGTGCTGCAATCAAGTTGGGTCAGATAACGAGATCAGTCTCCTATAATTTAGAGTAATTATATTGAAAAAATAGGAGTTTCAAGTATTTAGTTCTTGAAATATTACAAGATGTTATTTCATCCACTGTCTGATGCTATGCAACAAAAAGTGAGGTGGAACATCTTATTGTAGATTTTATGTTTATAAACATGCATATACTGTACAGTACAGTATAAAGATAAGGTTCTTACCTCTTCCCATTGGTGTATGTATCTAATGAGTCGTGAAAGTCTTAAGAGGCGCAACAGGCTGAGGATTTTTGTAAACCTCACAATGCGAAGTGCTCTGGCGGTCTTATAAACCTCTGAATCGAATCCCTTCTCCACGATTAGAAAGATATAATCCACTGGTATGGATGAAAGGAAGTCCACAACAAACCAGCTTTTCAAGTAGTTCATCTTTATCACTTTGGGGTCCAGGATGATTTCCGAACTCTCCTCATTGACTATCCCAGTTCTGAAGTTCATAACAAGGTCCACTAGGAAGATGGTATCTGAGGCTACATTGAAAACCAGCCATGGAGTTGTTGTCTGCTCGGTAAAGAATGTTATTCCAACAGGAATGATAATTAGATTCCCCACCATCATGATGAGCATAATCAAGTCCCAGTAGAACCTATAACACAAAAACAGACAAACATATTAATAATAATGGATAAACAAAGACTCTTTTTACATGCCACACAGAGTCACAAAGACATACATGGTAGCTCAAAAAACATGAGAATTACTATAAAATTAAATTAGAAGTTCCCATATTCTCTGAAACATAATTAGATAACTTATTTTGCCGTTTTTTTTTAATATTTCATGTGCATTGTGTTTTTTTTTCTTTTAAGCATAACACTCAACTTTTACAGTATGTCTATCACTGCTTAATTCAACTATTTTCTTTCAACAATAGGAGATACTTATATGATGTAAACAGGCCAGACGGATTTTGCCATTTTGCTCTAGTAAGTAATGGTTTCATTTCAGTATCATGACACATTTTCATAGATACCAGGCTATTTCTTTTATTTATTTATTTTCTTTTTATTATGTTATGTAAATATATTATGTGGATTGCTAATCAATGTGCTAAACATTTTGACACATGATTCCTCAAAGTGCGTGATTAACTGAGTTTGGAATCGACCTAAGCCTATCACATCTTTGATCCATTTGCCAGTTAACCAAGTACATGGTGATGGCTTATTGTTTAGAGGAGGCCTCTTCCTTCTGCCAGAAGGAACCTGGTATCAATGAATAGGTTTGAAGTTTGAAAATGGTAACGATTTAAAGGTATAATTTGATCCTTGTTTGTTTCCTTTAATATTTTACTATGTTCTTTCAAATTCTCTTTTCAACGTCATGAACTAACACTGGAGATCCAAGGCTTCTTGGTTGCTCTTGCCTGGAAATCCTTTTAGGGAACTACATTTTTTTCACCATATACTGTAGAAAACAGAACCATACAGTATTCCAGTTACACTCAGTTTAAGATCAAAGTGTATCGTAGTTTTCTATAGTAGTACAGTATGTGGTATGTAGTATAGTAGTAGTACTGTCACTGCTTGCAAATTGTAGTTCATACAGAAATTCAATATACACAATATACATAAGATATGAAGGGGCATATACTGTACTTTAGAAAACATCCTTTATTTAGATTTTTTTATTATTTTATTTATTTTTTATTTTCATTTTGACATCACTCAATATAGATATTGTATACTAATTTCTTTTTCAAAACAGGACATCAAAATGTCAAATACAAAAAGGTACAATGAACAGAAACTCATACAATTTCTTATCTATTTTTAGATAAAATAAATTAAAAAGAAAACATTTCATATTTTCCTTTGCATCAAAACTGAATTTTAGCTGAAAAACAAATGTTAAAATGGTTTATATTGTCAAATATTTTTCAAGTTAAATCAATCTTACACTTTAATTATTTATTTTTCCTCATGAGCAACAGCGTTTCAAATCATTACACTCTCACAAAGATTGAAATTCCAATTAACTAACAACAGACATTTCCAGTAAATGTAAGGTAAGGCAGGATGCTTGGTATGTTAGATAAACTTTCCATCTTTCTTATCTGGAGAAGAGCACAACAAAATAAAGGATGCCAAGCAATTTACTCCTTCTTGCATGTCATAATTACAGTATTTTCAATTTATCAGGTATACATCCTAACAGATTGGGAAATACAGTTTCATATACAGTAACACACAAGTCAAAGGTGTCTAAAAGTACTGTACAGTATCTAATAGTACTTTTAGTAACACACTGTTTTATTAACAATGAGTTAGTGCCCCCTGTACTATTTAGGAGAAGCTACATTGTTGAAAGCTTATGACTTCTATACTACTGAAGCTCATAGCAGAATGAAGAGTGTGAAAACAAGTGCCAAAAACAGTAAGTTAGAAGAGGAAGACTGAGCAAAAGAATCAGAAAGTGAGAGAAACAGGAAAAACTGGCAAAATATGTACATGTAGTTTGTTATTTGATTAAAAGAGTATATTTGGAAGTATGTTTTGTTTGTCACTTGGAAATAGGTTAGCGGTTCTCAATTCTTGAGAAGGGACAAGATGAAAAAAAAAAAAGATAGGGCCAAAAAAAGCTATAGTAGTGTTTTGATGTATTTTCCTTTCACTGATATCTCTCTGCTGCTTTTGTTTAGCTTACTCCTGTATGTGGTTTGTTTTCTGCACCAGAGCCTCCAAAGGCCACAGCCCTATCCCCTTATCCCAACAGAAAAAGAGTAGGCATGACTACTGCCTCCATAACCAGAGCTAGATGGGGAGATCATCAGGCTAGGGCCAGAACCAGGGTGGGTGGAGTTTCCTGAGATCTGCAAGCTGCAGAGTCAGAAGGAGGAAATATGAGAACTCTCAGGAGGAGACAGGAGGGAGTTATCCTGCCCACAGCCAAAAAAAAGGCTAAGACCCAGATGCTTACACAGAAGAGAATAGATTATAGGAGATGTTAAAGATGATACAAGCTGATACTGTGCACCTGTCAAGGCTGAGGAGGAAGGCATTGAAGGCACCTCAGAGAAGCCAAGACAGAGATAGAAAGAATCTACAGACCCCACCTTCCTCCCTTGTCAATAGACTGGATATGTGTGATACAAAATGGCAGCTCAAGAGTTTAAATGGGAAGGTAAATGTAACCCTTTGATGGTGCTGCAGTAAGACTGGGTCAGTCTAAGCCTAGAAAAGAGTGTGGTGGAAAACACTGAGAATAGTACTGGACTGTCAATGTGACACAGGCTAAAGATAGATGAAACAGAAACACAAAGAAAAGACAAACAATTTGGCTTGAGTGAGAGGAATCGTGAGCCAGTAGCAGGAAGCTGTAAGACTGAGAAAAAAAATCAAATAGGAAAACAGTAAACAGACTGATGTGAATTTTAATATCCAAATATCAAGGTCCAGATTGTATGACTGTAGTCAGAAAAGGTTGAGAATATTTGTTATAACTACTGTATATAATCCTCATACAGCATGTACTGTCAAACATGAACACAGTGGCATTCTAAAAATGAATTTCATATACACTCAAAAGTGGCACTGTCCTATGGTCAAGTACAGTAAGTTGACAAATTGGATGGGTACATAATGCATCTAACTTAACTATGCTCATCAGAAACCTTTGAGTACAGAAGCCTTAGATGAATAAATTTACAGTATAGTAGCTTTTAATTTGCTTAATTGCTTTTCTTTTCCCTTTTTGATGCTATAAAATTGGGAAAAGCCTTCCCAGCCACACACCCCAAAACTAGTTTTATATTTGATTTTTATATACATTACTTTCAATGTGCTATGTCTTAATGCATCTGGATTTTCATGTACACATTTGCAAAAGCCATCATAACACAAAGACCTATTCAAAAATGCCTATTCAAAAATTTAGTCATTCATTTAAATTATTTAAATTAATGTTACTTACATTGTTTCTATTACATAAATTATCTATGGTTTTCGTGGGACCATGTACTGTATAGAATCATTTTTTTTTAAATAAGTGGTTTAGGATAGATTATCTATTAATTAAAATATTTTCTTGATTAATTAAAGGGGAACTGCAGTCCCAATTTCTCAGACCATTTATTTTCTCGGTTATTAAATCTTGGTAACAAAATAAATTCATTGATGGTTTAGAAAAATTTTAGAAATCTTGAATTAAGCTCAACATTCTGAATTTTGTGAATGTTCTGTACAGTAAGTTAACATGTTGTCGCAAACCCCTGCTATCATCTCAGACGAGGGCTAGAGTTCCCTTGAATTGTGACGTGATGCACCCCTTCCTGCTCACTAGTCACCGTAATGACTAATGTAATCCAATGTACAAGTAAATACAAGCTGTAACATTTATTCAACTGAGTAAGTACAGGTTGTGCAGCAGACATTTCACTGCAGAAATGTTCCAATGTGATCTGTATCGGCAGAACTGTCTCAAAATTGGAACAATATTTCTATTGGAGAGATGCATTCATAAACCTGCTCGTTTACAATGTCATGGGGCCGCTTCACATCACTGGATGTTTTGTTGTCAAGTTCTGAATTGCAGAATATGGCACTGCATACCTGGAAATTTAGTCTATTTTGTGATGTAAACTGGAGGTTTACAGGTCACTGTGTACATTACTTTCATTGTGGTTTGAAATGCACTCATCAATGCTGATTCTTTTTAACCATGAAATATATATATAAAAAAGTGTTGCTGTGCCCCTTTAAGGCACAGGAGAAAAAAAGGAGAGAGCAGGTAAGAAGGGGTGAGGAGCAGTGGAGAAAGGACATATTCAAGGAGAACAGGAGGAGAGGTGTGAAAAGCCACAATCTGTGAATGAATAGCAAGGATGTTGAAGGAGGTGAGTCGTTAAGAGAAGGGGAAAGGTGTTATCCAAGTTTCAGGATGATTCTGATTTTGGATTTCCTTTATTATTCATGTTTTGCACTGTTTTCCTCTTTCACTGGTACTGTGCATGATCAAGTCCCAGCAGGGGCAGAGAGACCTTCACTCCCCACACAACCTCCAAGCCAACAAGATAAAAAGGTTGATTTTCCTTTTACATCTGATTGAAAATTGCTAGAAACATTTTGCTATGAAATGTCATGTACAGTAGTGCATTTCCACTTCAAAGAACTCTATCACATATTAGCCAAGATTGTAGCTTTGTGTTACATTTGTGGTTGATTATGGTTTTGTCATAGCAGAAGCAGTGTTTCCATGTCCTTCCTGCAAAAACAGGTTTAATTCAATCATTTCCATTTACAAATATGTCAAAGGATTGTGAAGAGAAAGCCTAGTGTTTCTTTAATAAATCCCTGTACCAAATATAACAAACAATACAGTATATTGTCGATATAAAAGTCCACATATTATGCAAAAAGGCTATTTATAATTTTTGCAAAGGAACAAGTAATAGGTTTATTCCATGCTGAAAAAAAGAAGAAAGAGAACACAATGTTTTGGCCGTTCTGAACTATTTATAATTTTTGTTTTATACTAGAAGTTTGTCAACTATAGTAAACGTTTATTCAACTGAGTAACACAAAAGATTTGCGATCATTCAGCATACATATTAAAACCTATAATGTAAAAACCTAACAACCTTCTGGG